TTTTGTGCGTATTTGCTCTCCTACATGAGTGGGAAGATAGTATCATGTGGAAACAAGTTAAACAGCATCAAAGAAGTAATTGCAAGCTGTCACTTTTTTCCTGGAGACCTTAACTATAATATTTTCAAAACCTAATCTGAAGGCAACTATATTGATGTGTAATGGGATAAAAACGAAACGCATACGCAGGTCAGAAAAGAAATACAACCGTGCTATTTGATCTGCTTTTGATGGTGTCTTCACCTTTTTCTAGTTCTCCTGCTCCTGCTGATTTGTATGTATATAGGTGTACATGATGTAATATATTCATAATGTTTTCTGTAGGTAACATTGTTACGTCCTTCCAAAAAATTACAATTACATTTCCGTAAGCCTATACAAACCCGAGCTCAGACTTTTCATTATTTCAGAAAGGACAGTAACAAGCAGAGAAAATTGTCAAGTAACCTTTTGTACGGTTGTCTTTTTGCTTATGGATTACACTTTAACGATGTGCCCCACTGACAGATGTGGAGACACTGTTTTAATATGCCAAAAAGTTTAGTTTCAGGAAACAAACTCGTACAGAGTCATTATCTGGATCTATACCTTGAGAAGAAAAATAACACACATACTATCAGGGCCATTGATGCTGAATCTGCAGTAAATGTAATCTGAAAACTAATTCTGTATGTTTTGATCCCATGTGATGCTGCTGCTGAATGTAATTTGATGAACAGCGTGATTAGATGCTATTGAATATGATGAATAGACCTGAAACAGGCGACGATCGATATCTGCACACTGAGCTGACAAAGTAGTAAAACAGCATCAACTCCACTCACTTTAGAAGAGAGTGTTAAGTGACATGTAAGGATTCTTTTATCTTTGTGAGTTCAGGTTATACTTTCTTATCAGACTGTGTGAACCTTAATTCCTTCTAAAATTAGAAAACGTAATTTCTCTTTGAGCTCTAGATAAGGAAAAGGAAAGTATTTGCAGATGAATTGGACATTTTTAAACTGCATTTTTACTGCTGTGATTTATTCCTTTTACGCAAACACATGCACTCAGAAAGTATGCGTTGTAGGAACGTTTTCTAACTGAGTGAAATGACTGGGATGTATAAGTGGCAGCCATTATCAGAGAAAGTCTCTAAAAGCTAAGGAGAGGTACTTCGATGCCTCCTTTCTGACGTTTTCTTTGGCATAGGATTAACATGACCAGCAAAGGAAGATAGAAAATGTCATCGCACAATTATTTAAGCAGAAACACATCAGTTGCATACTTACTCAGCTTTGTGTAAGTGCAATATCATTTTTGAAGCTGTTTTTAGAAACATTTTCCATCCATTTTAAGGAAAAGTACATGGGAAAATACAGATTTTGTATCTTTTGTTTATTATTCGACCCCAAGTCAATGCAGCTACGACATTATGCCACTGTTATGTTCCAAATTCCAACCAAATGTCACGTAAAATCATAATTAGTAAAAATATAATGACCTGAATGTCCTCATCAGCATGTAATCTAGTTACGAAGCGACACGCTCAGTACAAAAATGTTAATGAAATATAACTAAAATGGCCCTTCCATGATGAATTATGGAAGTGCAATTATGTAATAACATGTCAGTAGAGAAGGCTCATTTAAGTGAGACATGATAACTCAAATTATTCCAATAATCGTCGGTGGGAAGTCATTCAGCCTGACCCTATTCTTCAGATGTGGGTTTAATTGCCCACAATATGAAGTGTGAGATCCCCTCACTTATCAAATTAACAGCTAAGAAAAGGACAGTAAAATACTTAACGCTCATTTCAGGAGAATGAGTCATGCCAAAGGTAAGCTGTTTATCTGGTGAAGGGGGGGGGGGGAGCAGGAGGAAGAGGAGGGAGTGGAACATGATGTACATGCCAGTGTTAGTATGCGCCAGGTTATGTAGATATGGTTAAGGGTTTCCAGCTTCATAAATCCTGATGGAAGAAGCTCTAAATTGATTTAAATGCTCGTATTTTAATTTGAAAAGAAATCAAGCTTTAGCAGCAGAAATAACTCATTTGTGAATATGTTGCTCTGGAATGTGTCGCTCAGGCTACATAAAGAATGTACTTCTTGCACAAAACTGAAAAGAAAATATTACATTGAATATATATTTTATTTATCTTCTATTAAAGACTGCTCAAACTACCAAATGTAACAGGATTGGATTTTTGGAAGGGAATATTTAAGCCTTTGCTGACCATTTACATCCACTAAGACCTACAGTATATAACACACTATGGGAAAGGGGAAAACACCAAAAAAGCATAATAGGAAAAAATGCATTATTTATTTCTTTCCCTATCGAGAGCCATGAGTAAAGGAAGTCTGAATTCTGATTAAAAACACTACAGAGAGGGAATAAGACACTTACGTCAGATAAATGTTAAGTATGAGTGTGAACTTTGGATTGACTTTGCAGCTGCCAGACATGAGATTGACGTAAGGTTGGAAAAGGGCATCTGCTATGAAACGTTAAACTCCCTTTGTGCATATATGGGAGAAGAAGGACAATAAACCCACTAAAGCTCTGCTCCTGCTTCTTATATAACTTTAAGCTTCTTTCAGAATCCCTTCCACATCTCTCGGTGACTGAAAAAAACCCATTATCTTTATAAAACAGTCTTAAAGTGTGGTTCTTTTCTACAACTTCGTAAGCCTCAGATTCTGATTGTAAAGGGTGTGTGTAATAGTAGACACTGAGAAGCTTGTCAAAAATTCAACAGAAGATGAATCTGGGCTTGTAAAATGTATCAATATGGATTACAGTGTTCATACCTGCTGAATCCAACATATTAATAACACAACATATGTGTAAAATATGCAACACATAGCGTATCAATTATGTTTACATTTGTCCGACTCTGTGTTGCTGACACCTTAACTGCTGTAACACTCACACATTCAGCTGTACACAGTTAAACATATACTAAGTGTACACAATTTGCTCTTGCCTGATGTTTTATTCCTGGTAGCAGAGGTATATCCATTCATGAGCTTTCATATTTATCTGTAAGTCTCCTCTGCAGATCTGGCTCGGCCTAGATAACAGGACGCCTGCCTGGAGGGGAGACACAACCCCGCAGGAAGTAATAGAAGCTATCATATTGCTTAGCGGGAGACATGTCCAGCAGCCCTGTCAGCTAGGGGGCGGAAAGAAACGTCACATGATGTTCAAGCGTTATTAAAAAGAAGTCTTACAATTAACACATCTAAAAAAAGTCATGTAGATCAGATTTAGCACCATGTTGGTGATTCATTCTGCCGAGATGAACAAGAGCAAAGTGTGTTGCCTTGAAGAGGTTTTTATAAATAAACATCTCTCCATAATGAGCTGGGTGGATTGAAATAAAGGCCTTGAAAAATGAAGTCATTCTTTCACTTGTTAAATGTGATTAATTATTAATGACTGAATCTTTTTATTTTTGTATTTGAAGCACTTTGTTTAAAGAATCAGATGTTGTTTAATTGTGAATAATGCAAAGCAGCATAATAATGGTTTATTTCTATCACCCCTCCTAAAAAAGAACACTGATACATTGACACCTACATCTGTCTAATGAAAGCTCTGTGAGCAAACACTGAATGCAAAGGCTATTAAACCTGTTTCTGAATTGTTTCACAACTTTAAAACCATTATACCTCCCTGTGGGTCTTGATCTACAGCTGCTTTATGAGCGGCATATATTTTAACAGGAGACAGGGGAGTCAATACATGATAACAGCTTCCCAATACATGATAAAACGTATTATCTTAATTGCTCTTATCACTTTGTCTTATTAAAACGTTGCCTACCTAGCTCTGCATTCAACATTTATCATTTCCCAACATTAAACTCTACTGATTCTGATCTCCCACCTTAGCTTGTTTAATGACACCGGGGGACTTAACGGTCTATACCCAGACTTTATGATCCACTCCCATGTATTTATAGGCTTACAATATTGCACTAATAAAACCTTTTGTTCTGTAAAAGTGAATACTTATGGATCAAAATGAAGCAAATTCATCAGATGTTAAGTTCTGTTTGATACTGAAGCCAGAACGTTAGATACAAAAAAGATTAGTCCAGAACAAAGTCAGATAAGGTTCATAAAGCAGTACTTTTTGACTGTATACTCATTAAAACTAGATGTAGAGAAGGTCCTTGGACATTTAGAAATGTTAATATTCCTTGCATTAGTACAATAACATAACCAGAAATATATAGTGTAGCCTACTGAACACAGAAATATAATGCGATCCATTTCCTTTTTTAAGACAACTATTTACTCGTGTTTGCATGTCCTAAAGCAATTTAATCTGAAGTTAAACCTTGCTCTTGGAGGATTAATGCACCATAAATCCTCTTTTAGTCCTGTCAGTGGCCCTATTCCTTTCCTGCGGAATCAGATTTGTCCAATCCAGGAGTACTTATGGATATAGGCCGATTTGAGTGTGTCCAGCAATAAGGGGGGCACTTAAAGTGTACTTCACATCCTGTAGTGGAAATTGTGTTTTTTATAATATGTTCCCGTAGCGTAGCCTGATGCAGTTAAAGCATGCTGCAGCAAATGGAATTGTGATATCTGCCCCTGCAAGTCCGGTATGGATGGAGTTGTTATACTTTATCTGCGGGAAATCATTTCGGTGGCTATAGTGCATCCTTCCCGAGGGACCTGCATGTTGCTACTTACATTTACTCCTCAGCTGCGGTGGCTTGAAGATTGTTGAACTCAAAACAAGGAACACATTGTGATCAACGACATGTAATCCAATCCTTGCTCTTGAATTGTTGATCGCATCACTGATTTGTTGTATTTTGGAATGCATTACGATCATATCAGATAACCTTCAGATAACATTGATAAAGAATGCCTTTTTTAATAAGCAATTTGACTGGCCTTACACAAATAACTCGTCAGCCACAGGTGCATATTTCTATCACCTTGTTCTTTATTGTTAATACAGAAACGTGTCCACTCATATTATATATATACCTGCAAAGGGGAAAATGTCTGTTCATCCTCGTTGAAACAGAAAACAAAAACGCATTGAACTCCCACAAGAATCAAAACTCCCCTCGTCCACCCAGCATCCAAAAATACTTGACACTGCCACCAGCAAAAGTATAATGAAATTGAAAAAAGAGAGAAACACAAAAACAACAAACCTGAGAGCTCAACTGCAAGAAAAGTATCACGTCAAAACGTTTAAAAAGGACTCCTTGTTATTAAGAAAAGAAGAATAAAGTAAAAGCAAGGGCGGTGGGATTCACCGACACATCAAAATCACAAAACTCGAAGGCAACAAACAACACTGCACAATGCAAACCAAAGCATAGCAACAGCAAAAGTCGACAGAAACAAAAAATAAAAATGTTTCAAAACCACCAACAAATTGTTTGAAAAATCTCAATACTGACAAAAGCTGCTTGGTTTCGACCCTCGAAACAAAACTGCAAGCAAGTAAAGGCTCTCTCACGAGCGATACCGCACCGATTACCCTGTTGGCACTCTCGGTCAGAATAACTGCATGCTAAAAACTTGAAGCCTGGATTTGAAAAACGCTCAAAACCACCATGTCAATGCTCAATTCAAACACCAGCAAAAGGAGTAAAAATAAAAAAGGGGGCAATTAAAAAGACAAAAAATGCTTACAAAAAAGCCATTGGAAATGTACTCACCGAGCGGGAGTAAAATGTTGCAATAAAAATGTGATATGGCTCAAAATACAGTATGGCGGTTCAAGCCGAAATGCTGTGCCTTTTCTCTAGATCTCTGCCTCCAGCTCGTCATGTGACTGAGTCAGCCTCGACTTCCAGCAATGAGAGCCCAGTGTTGAACAGCTGATGCTGAATGCTCTCCCTAACGCCTTGGCTCTCTCCAAAAGTAAAAAGAGGTAGTCCTTATCGTCCCACAGTTATGACTGAACTGCCTGTGTGTTTTCCTTGGCTTTTCTTTTTTTCCCGTTTTAAAGATGCAGAGCTCAGTCGATGTCAGCGCCACGGAGGGATCCGGACATGCTTTCATTCCATTCAGAAGCACGAGCGTTTATGCACGGCATGTTCTGTTCTCTTATGAGGAATGAAGGTCTATGCCTGTCGGATTTTACAGTGGGGCTGGTCATCGCAGCGGTATCATTTCCATACTATAACGCGATCCCTGTCCATGGTGCTAAACTCTGGCGACACTGATAATAAAGCAACGGGATCACAGTCACGATACAAAATGTGAAGCATTACATTGAGGAAAAGCAATTAAAAGTGTCATATTAATAATCTCACCCAGCTCTCTCCATGGTGCTAAAACCAAGGGAATGTTGTGAATGTTAGTAGGAAAATGTATCATCAATAGCTGTGTTATAAATACCATACATCGTTTATAAATTAAGCACATAATAAAGTCAGCATGCATACCAATACTGGAACTATTGGACACATACATTGAACATTATGCACAAGACTGGAAGAAATGTACAAATTACGTGTCAATAAGAGTTCATTGTGAACAAAGAAAACAACAAAATAACTGTTAAGTCTTTGGAAAATCACCTTGCATTCTATGAGCGTATTTAGATGAATTGGAAGTGACATTCATGGTTGCAGTTGGATTTGAAGGCATATTGTTGTATTTCCTGTTTGTATAAAGCAGTTATTAGTTGATCTTTTTATATGGGAAACACAAATAGAGTGAACAAAGACAGTTACTGTATGCAAGCAGTAAATGTATGGGATAGAGCAGGCATGGGCAAACTAAGGCCTGCGGGCCATATACGGCCCGTTGGCCTTTTTAATCCGGCCCGCCGAATATTGGTACATCATTTTCCAAATTGTAGTAAAGACCGCATTCATTGAGCCTTTTTCCTGCATTACCCGGCATTTCAGTTGATCCCACTAGATGGCGCACTCTAGACACAATTTACCTTTGCTGGAGTCGGCAACCCGGCAAGATCTAAGAACCAAATACGTCACGCTTACCTTGGAGGGGGTCGAGATTAACCTGAGCAATAACAGTTCATGGCGAGTACAGCGAATACAAGTTGTAACAAGCAGTAGCGCTGAGCAAAGTGACTAGAACGCAACCACACACTTATTAAAGTCAGGCATCACTAACCAGGCTTAGTGTGATTCTGTTTATTTTACCTTACTTTAATGACCATCCGTTCACTGTTATTGACTATTGTGTAGAGGCAGACGTTGTCCTGTTGTTTTGTATTATTGCAGCTATTGGATGGAATCAATACATGGGCTACATGTGGCCATCACAAGTAGAATCATAACGAAAACTACGCCGGTAAAATATGTGTGTAGAAAACGGCTTATGCCACAATATGATAGCAACAAGTAGTCGAGATAGTCTGATTAGCTTCGGTTGCTATGCTAGCATCACCTGTAGAATGCCAGAGAAACTTTCATAACCGCGTTGTGATGCCATACAGCGTCAATTCATACTGAAACACATTCACTGATGGAGATGGGGGATATGTATCAGCTGCTTGTGTGACAGTCGGACAGTGAATACTTTAAAGCGGCCGCTGCGGTGAGTTAACAGTAGACTCAACTCCGGTAGACGAGCAGCGGTGCAGCGGGCGGTAATGCCGTTGAACCACATTTTTAAACTCATGGTGGCCCCCAAGGCAAAACGTTTGTCCACCCCGGGGATAGAGTCATGGAGCCCTGTCCATTGTGCTTAAACAGAGGGTTGTTTCATAGTTTTAAAAAAACAAACAATTTGGTCTCTCTCCGCTGCATTTCTCAGCTGGAAGTTTCAGTAGTATGTAGAGCTGCAAAGAGAAATCCAAGCTGAAATAGCTTATAGTTTGTCATCGCTTCCTACGTCATTGAAGTGTCAATGGCGCTGCCGGAAACAAAGGGCTAAAGATTTTGAAGCTGCAAACAAAACTGAATACTTGAATCGTCTGTATTTGCCATGGACATTGATTGGACATCCACAACAATGTGCCCCAATTTCCCTCCTCCATCACCAGGTCCTTAAACCTCAGGGAATGCTGGTTTAACTGTAGCCCTGTCCATGGTTCTGAAATAAGATTATTTTGGCAGATTAAGGACAAACAACATATGGCACTGAATCTGAGTTGTATACTAATATGTTTCATGATTTTAGAGCATAATAACAGAGTATTATACCTTCAATGCTCTGCTCTGTCCATGGTGCTGAAACTCGGTGGCTTTCACCCGCACTCAACATAGTCTATATTTATGGTTCAGAACTCAAAAAGGCGCTGGACGATGATGCTGGACAGGAAATAAATAATGTGTTTGTATCATTAGCGTCTGACTGCAGTTGTCAGACATAATTCAGATCAAGTTCATGCAGCACACAGCGCTGGGGACAACTGTCACCATTCATTCATCATAACGGTGGTTGGTGCACTGTTTCTACCTTAAGCAATGTCTAATTTAATCCACTTTTCAGATCACATCCAAGCCTTTGGGAGGCAGGATTGAAAATGCTTTACAGTCTCTAAAGAGAGCAGTTGATATCCAAGAACAGCGATCAAACACTCAATATCATAATGGATAATCTAGCAAATTATAACATGTTTTCTTTAGCCTTTTAAGTCGCAAGATACTATATGTGTCACGATCTGTCTGTGTTGTTGTTTTGTCTTGTCTTTTTCTATCTTTGGGTTTCCTGTTTTATTTTGTAAATTGTTCACCCCCGTTTCCTGCCTGTTGCTTTCTGTCTGTTTTCCCTCCCTGATTACCCGATTGTGTTCACCTGGTGCCTCTGTGTTTTATCCTCCCTCCTCACCTGTGTCTTGTTTGTGTGATTAGTCTTGTGTGTATTTAAGTTCTGGTTTTTCTGTCTGTCTTTGTCGGTTCGTCTTTCGTTGTTGACTGTGTTCACCGGTGAGTGTTCTGTCTGTCCTAGTTCTATTTTTCATTATCCTTGAAATAAAGGTTAAATCAGGTTAATCTGCATTTGGGTCCTGCTTCCTTCGCTCTACCGTGACAGAACGAACCGACCAAGAAATGGACCCAGCAGATGATCCATTTGAGGTGGAACTACAACATTTTCCCTTTTATTTGGCTTGCTGCTATGATACGTCCAGTGTTCGGCAGAGGGAGGCCGCTCTGGTAGAGGCGCACCGGTTGGCTATGGAGAAACCAGACTTGGTGAAGTTCTTACCAGGCTGGATTTTGGACTTCCTCTGGGTGTGTGATTTCCAGCCTGCTGAATACAAACGTCTCTGTGTGTTCCGTCTGGAGTCAACCAGTGCTTCTGCCCCAGTTCCTGCTCCTGTCCAGGAGTCGTTTTCTGGAACTCGTCTGGCTTTTGGAGGTCCACGGAGCCTTCAGGCGGCTTCTAGGAGAAGGAGTCGCAAGTCCAGGCTAGCAGCCCGAGCCCCAAGAGCCATGATTCCGGTCCCAGTTCTGGTCCCTTCTCTAGTCCCTTCCCAAGTCCCTCCTCAGGTCACTTCTCTAGTCCCTTCTATAGTCCTTTCTCAAGTCCTTTCTCAAGTCTCTCCTCTAGTCCCATCTCTAGTCCCATCTCCAGTCCCTCCTTTAGTCCCTTCCCTAGTCCCTTCTCAAATCCCAACTCTAGTCCCATCTCAAGTTCCCTCTCGAGTCCCCTCTCGAGTTCCCTCTCCAGTCCCTACTGAAGTGCCGTTGGAGGTTCCGGCTTCAGTACCGGCCCACACAGCAATGATCCAGGCTTCAGCTCCGGACTTTACAGCCATGTTTCCGGCTCCAGAACCGGACCTTACAGCCATGTTTCCGGCTTCAGAACCGGACCTTACAGCCATGATTCCGGCTCCAGAGCCGGCCCATTCAGCCATGTTTCCGGCTCCAGAACCGGACCTTACAGCCATGTTTCCGGCTCCAGAACTGGACCTTACAGCCATGTTTCCGGCTCCAGAACCGGACCTTACAGCCATGTTTCCGGCTTCAGAACCGGACCTTACAGCCATGATTCCGGCTCCAGAGCCGGCCCATTCAGCCATGTTTCCGACTCCAGAACCGGACCTTACAGCCATGTTTCCGGCTCCAGAACTGGACCTTACAGCCATGTTTCTGGCTCCAGAACCGGACCTTACAGCCATGGAGGCCCTGCCGACTACTCTCCTGCCGGGGGTCCTGCCAACCCTTTGTCCTGTCTCGTTGGAGGCGCCGCCGACTACTCTCCTGCCGGGGGTCCTGCCAACCCTTTGTCCTGTCCCGTTGGAGGGCCCGCCGTCTACTCTCCTGCCGGGGGTCCTGCCAATCCTATGTCCTGTGCCGTTGGAGGCCCCGCCGACTACTCTCCTGCCGGGGGTCCTGCCAACCCTTTGTCCTGTGCTGTTGGAGATCCCGCCGACTACTCTCCTGTCGGGGGTCCTGCCAACCCTTTGTCCGGTCTCGTTGGAGGTCCCGCCGTCTACTCTCCTGCCGGGGGTCCTGCCAATCCTATGTACTGTGCCGTTGGAGGCCCCGCCGACTGCTCTCCTGCCGGGGATCCTGCAAATCCCGTGTCCTGGTCCTCTTCCGTGGGGGATCCTGCCGAGGCCTGTCCCACCAGCTCCGACACCGGGTCCTGCCCGGTCTCCGGCACTGTCCCGTCAGCGCCTTCCTGCCCGGCCTCCAGAGCTCTCTGGTCTTCGCCCTCGAGCCCGGGCCCCTGAGAGCCGCGGTCTTCGCCCTCGATCCCGGCCCTCTGTGAGCCGCAGTCTTCACCCTCGAGCCCAGCCCCCTGAGAGCCGCGGTCCTCGCCCTCGAGCCCGGCCCCCTGACTCTTCCTGCCGCGGTCCTCGCCCTCGGGCCCGGCCCCCTGACTCTTCCGGCCGCAGTCCTCGCCCTCATGCTCGGCCCCCTGAGTTCGCCCGGGGTGGCCTTCGCCCCTCCATAACCCCCATGTTCGACTCTGCCTTGCCCCCGGGCCGTCCGCCCGAGACCCCTTCCTGGTCCTCTGCCGTGCCCCTGGGCTGTCAGCCCAAGCCCGTCCTCCAGACCCCCCCCACCCACCCTGGTGGCTTAGTGA